CACTGTTCCCTGCTGCTCCTCACTGCTCCTCACTGCTCCTCACTGCTGCTCCTCACTGCTCCTCACTGCTCCTCACTGCTCCTCACTGCTGCTCCTCACTGCTCCTCACTGCTGCTCCTCACTGCTCCTCACTGCTCCCCACTGCTCCCCACTGCTCCTCGCTGCTCCTCGCTGCTCCTCACTGCTCCCCACTGCTCCTCGCTGCTCCTCACTGCTCCTCGCTGCTCCTCACTGCTCCTCACTGCTGTTCCCCACTGTTCCCTGCTGCTCCTCGCTGCTCCTCACTGCTGTTCCCCACTGCTGTTCCCCACTGCTCCCCACTGCTCCTCGCTGCTCCTCGCTGCTCCTCACTGCTCCCCCTGGAGATTGCAGTGGTTGCTGCGCGCCAGGGCCCTGTGGGGTAAGAGCCCGGGCTGTGCACAGCAGCGGAAGCCACACGTCTAAAGCCCGGAGCAGGGGGCCCCAGTTTCAGGGCTCAGAGTCCTGGGTCCACCGGCGCTGAACGGACTTCTCCCAGTCCTCGGACAGAGGGGCCCAGCCACAGAGCGGACGATGCAGTTTTAACAAGGTACAGTGCAGAAAACAGTCCTCGCTCGGCCTTCTCCGCAGGCAGAAATGCGCGCTGAACTCCATGAAAAATCCGCCTGCTGTGGGCTGTGGAGCCTGAGGCCCCGAGTGTGTCCCCATAGTCCGCACCGTGAGCAGGCGTGTGGAATCCCAGAGGCGGAGAGGCGGAGGCCGGGGGATGCCTGCCGCTCACTGTCCAGCAAACTAGTCTACTGGAGAGCTCCAGGTCGGAGGCTTAATTACCCAGAAGCCTCGGGTGCTCTGAAAGCCCCACACAGAACGGCTGACCGGCAGGCAGAGCCACACAGCAGGCCCCAGGACATCTACTACGCTGGAGCAGACAGACCTGGACCGGGCCCGCAGGTGATGGAACAGCAGGTGTGGAGGCAGGTGTGGAGGCAGGTGGAGCCGCAGGTGGAGCCGGCCCACAGGTGTGGAGCAGCAGGTGTGGAGTCGCAGGTGGAGCCGGCCCACAGGTGTGGAGCCGCAGGTGGAGCCGGCCCACAGGTGTGGATCGGCAGGTGGAGCCGGCCCACAGGTGTGGAGCAGCAGGTGTGGAGGCAGGTGGAGCCGGCCCACAGGTGTGGAGACAGGTGTGGAGCCGCAGGTGGAGCCAGCCCACAGGTGTGGAGGCAGGTGATGGAGCAGCAGCTGTGGAGGCAGGTGTGGAGGCAGGTGGAGCCGCCCCGCAGATGGCGGAGCTTGTGCTCGCTCGCGCGGAGAGGCCGGCGGGCCGCTCGGTTGGGGGAGGCTGCTTCGGTTTGCTGTAGCCAAGGAAGACAGGAAACTAGGTTCAGGGGTTTCCCTGGCCCCGGCCCCTCCATCCTTGTTCCTCCCCCATCGGTGTGAAGGGGTGAACCGAGGTGGGAGGGGAAGAAGGACCCACAAAGTGGCTTAGGCCGGCCACCCGGACAGGACCTCACGAAGACACCCAAGGCCGAGCCCGCCCCACGGGCACTCGGACACCCTCAGTGAGTCCTGTTTATTGCTTTCTATTTTGTGAGTGTGCGTGCACCACAGGCGCTTGCATGGCGCGCTTCACCGCGTCGCTCCCGGGGAATCGAACTCACGTTGTCACACTTGGCATCACTTGGACGCGCTAAGCCATCTGTGTGGGGAAAAGAATCTTTAAAAGATCTGCTGGAAGCCGGGCGCGGTGGCGCACGCCTGTGCCCCCAGCATCGGGGAGGCGGATCTCTGTGAGTTCGAGGCCAGCCTGGTCTACAGAGGGCGTCCAGGACGGCCAGGGCTACGCAGAGAGACCCATCTTATGAAACAAAGTCAGGCCCCCTCGGCCTGCGCGCGCCTCGTGCTCCGCCCGGCCCCGCCCTCGCCCCGCCCCCTCGGCCTGCGCGCGCCTCGTGCCCCGCCCCCGGCCCCGCCCGCCTCCCGCTGCGCAGACTCAGTGCCTGGCTCTCGGCGCGGCCCCGGGTCCTCCAGAGCACAGAGCGCAGGTTCGCGGGCCGCCCGGCGTGCGGTCGCCACGTGTCGGGCCGCGCGCAGCCGGGCAGGACGGGGACGGTGGCGCGGTGGGGCGAGCACCGCACGCAGCCCCGGCCGGGAGCGCGCGCCGGGCACGCCGGGACCACCCGCCCGCCGCGGGCCGGAGCAGCGACCGCGCCGGGGACCAGCCCCTCTGCCTTCCGCGCACACCCTCGCCAGAGGTGGACAGCGTCTGGCTTTGCTCTGGACGTTCCGTGTCCGTGTGCACACCAGTAAGTGAGGTGTTGACGCCCTCGTAGCGTCACTTCTAGAACCGCTCCGGGCCCTGCCAGACGAGAACGCGCCCGTCGTGCTGCCCTTCCGCCGGCCGCGAACCTCCTCCCGGCGTGTCACTTAGCCAAAGCACGTTGCGACTTCCTGTATATCATGTTGGCCTCTCCAGAAAGTTTCTGATGAAGCCGGGCGTGTTGGTGCACGTCTGTAGATCCAAGCTTGGGAAGTGGGGGCAGCAGAAACAGCACTGGGCTCTCCGGCAAGGGCCTCCGAAGACCGGAGGCCAGGATCGGTCCCATTGTAACTCAAGTGGCTCATTACACACTGAAAACAGCACAGAGCAAGCCTAGTCGTTCACAGTTTCAAGGGAGTAATTTCACTACCGAACCACCGTACAAAACAGCTCTTTGAGCCAGGCCTGGTGGCGAAGGCCTGTGGTCCCAGCACTCAAGGAGGCAGAGGTAGGCAGGTCCCTGTGAGTTCAAGACTAGCCTGGTCTACAAAGCCGAGTCCAGGGCAGCCAAGGCTACACAGAGAAACCCTGCCTCGAAAACAAACAAACAAATAAATAAATATAGTTCTTTGGGATTGCTTTTCCATTTGGGGATGTTGAATTCACCTGCCTGTTCCTTCCCGTTCCCCCGCTGATTGCTCGAACAAGGAGTTACAATTTAGGGACAGGCAGGGTGGCTCCTGGGCGTGCCTGTTTCTTTGTTGTTTGCATGGGCCAGGGTCATCTGGGGAGAGGGAGCTTGAGAATGTGGCTCCATCAGAGTGACCTGTGGGCAAGTCTTCAGGGCACTTTCCTGATTTTTGACTCGGAGCCCCAGCCCATGTGGGTGTGTCATCCCCGGGCTGGGGGTCCTGGGTTCTCCAAGGAAGCGGCTGAGCGAGTCAGGCAGTGGCGCCCTCCATGGCCTCTGCCTCAGCCCCTGCTCCAGGTCCCGCCTTACTTTCCCTAAGTGATGGATGCCATTCAGGTGCTTAAGCCAAATAAACCCTCCTCCCTGCACCGGTCGTGCTCTGTTACCGCAATAAAACCTAAGGAGACAGGAGGGGTAAAGGCCACCAAGCCTGACAGCGTTAGCCTGAACCCTGGGACCACGTGGAAGGAGAGCATGCCCTGCAGGGTTCCCTCCGACCACCCGAGCGTCACGGCATACACTTGCACAGCACACATGCCAGCCGTGGTGCGTCACGCCTTTAATCCCAGGGCACACGGGCAGGTGGAGCTCTGTAAATTTGAGGCCAGCCTGGGCTACAGAGTGAGAGCACATCAGGAAAAGAAAAAGAAGTTACAGACTGAGGCGCACATTTTATCATGGAGTGACTAACCAGAAGGGGTTAAGCTGATGCCTCCTCCTGGGCCAGGCCCTTCTGTGTCTTCGCATCTGAAGTGGCAGTAAGATCCTGCTTCAGAAATGAAGATAGCCAACGTGAATAAATTGTAATAAATATAAATAAAGTTTTTAAATGAGTAAGAAAAACTACGAAATAAGAAGAAATGAAGGTAGCTCTGGTTCAGAGCAAGGAGAAGGAAGAGGCCGCTGGGATGCAGCCTTGTTAGCGGGCTCACTGATCAGTGTGAAATCCTGAGTTCACTCCCACACAAGCCAGGACAGACGCTACCATACCCGTAATCCAGGTCCCTCCAGCCGCAGGCAGGGAGATGAGTTCAAGGTCATCCTCAGTGAGCTTGAGGCCAGCTTGAACTAGAGACTGGGAAGGACGGGAAGGAGGAAAGGAAACAACAGGAAGAGAAAAAAAACCTTTAAGGCAGGATTGGGTTAAAAATCCCAGGTCCAGGGCTGGAGAGACACTCGGCATGTAAGGAAGGTGCTGACCAGGCCAGTGGCTGAGTTTGACCCTCCCACAGAAATAAAGGTCCTGAGTGGCCAGGTGTTAAGGGGCGAGACTCCTAGCTGGGACCGGGAGGTCTGTGTAAGTTGATGGCTTATGCCAGAGCTTAGGACAAACACAGCATCTCAGTGCTAGTGTGGTGGGACCGGCCACGCAGGACAGTGTGGGCAAACCGAACACGGGGTGACTCCTCCCACGCGCACCATTCATCCAAGGGCCGATAGCCACAACCCAGAGCAGACAGCAGGACCCTCGCTCCTTCAAGGCCGGGCCCCAGCCTCCGACTCTGCCGAGTCTGCTCACTGTGACGCAGACAGAACCAACATTTACTTGGCTTTTTCATCCGGGCCTCTGAGAAAGCCTTGGATCATCTGGCTCCTAAGAAGGTCTCGCGTAGCCCAGGCTGGACCTGCACTTGCTATGTAGCCAAGGATGGCCTTAAACCCCCTCCTCCTCCCACCTCCCCAGGGCTAGGGTTGCAGGCGTGCACCACTCTCTCCAGCTCGCTTTTGTTTTCGGTCTCCCCTAGAGGAGAGGCAGGATGGAGTTTTTATCAGTGCCTGAGTCTAAACAGTGACCACATAGGAAATGCCAGGTCAACAGTGAGTGAATGAGCAGGAAGCCGGGGCGGGGTAGGAGACAGGTGTTCTGAGTAGCAGGGGCTGCCCATGCCGAGGCCTGGGACTGTGTGTGCTGGCTGCTGTGTCACCTTGACACACAAACTAGAGTTACCACAAAAGAGGAGCCTCAGTTGAGAAAATGCCTCCATTAGATCTGGCCGTAAAGCATTTTCTTTTACGAGAAGAACTTTCTTCTTTGTTAAGATAGGGCGATTGATGGGGGAGGGCCCAGCCCACTGTGGTGGTGCCATCCCTGGGCTGCTGGTCCTGGGTTCTATAAGAAAGGCTGAGCTGGGCAGTCAGGGCGCATACTCCAGTCCCAGCACTCAGGAGGCAGAGGCAGGAGGATCTGTGACTTCAAGGCCAGCCTGGTCTACAGAGCTAGTTTTGGGATAGCCAAGGCTACACAAAGATACCCTGTCTTGAAAAAACGAAAAAGAAAGGGCAAGCCGGGCATGGTGGTGGCACACGCCTTCAGTCCCAGCACTTGGGAGGCAGAGGCAGACCTGAGTTCAAGGCCAGCCAGGGTAACATAGTAAGGCCCTGTCTCAAAAAACAAAGTGTGTTGAGTCTCTGCTACGACTCTTAAATTCTATCGTGTGACTAAAGGTCGGGTGGAAAGGAACAAAGTCACCAACCACCTACTGCTCCTAATACTAAAATCCCGGAAGTTAGCGTTTGCCCGGGCTCCTCCTCAGGCCAGAGGCCTCAAGACCCCGCAATCCTCAGGTACACCCAGATGGTTTCGCTAAATTATATCTGAAGGATCTGACCCTGCAAGAGATAACCTCTTTCAAGTTTTCTTTTTAATCGTGTGTATCTGTGTGTGTCGGCATGAAGTGCAGTTGCCGGGGCGGTCAGAGGAGGGCACTGGAGCCGCCCAGTGCTGGGACTTGAACCTGGCTCCTGGGCAGTCTTCCCTGCCCTTTCAGCCTTGCTTCGACCTTGCGGCCCAAGTTTGCGGGTGCGGGATGGGGAAGCTGCGCTTACCAACCCCCCTTGCCCTGTGGAAGCTGAGGCCTCGGGGTCCTAGAGGAAGGGCTGCTTGACCCGTGATCCCTGGAGGAGCGCTAGCGCCACCTCCGGGCCCTGGCACAGGAGGAAGGGGCGGGGCCTACGCGGGTCGATGCCGGAAGTGCCTCCGCTCCTGCCGCTGGACCATGGAGACCGTGGCCCAGTAGAGACCTTGGTGCGAGGCTTGCAGGGGCGGTGGCCATGGAGGCCGTGCTGAACGAGCTGGTGTCTGTGGAGGATCTGAAGGTGAGGCCTGGCCCAGAGGAGGGAGGAGGGTAGGACTGGAAAGAGCAGTTCCTGAGGACAGCCGACCGACGCCAAATACCGCCGGTTTCTGCTTGCTGAGGAAGCCGAACTACGGCTCCCAGCAGCCTCTGCGGCGTCTTGCTTCTTGCGGGAGCTTGCGCTGTGTTCTTGGGCCTGATGGGAGTTGTAGTTTCCCGTGTTTCGGCAACGCCGACCTGAGGCCTGGAGTCTCAGCGTCACGCAGGGTCGGGAATTTGGGGAACGCACGCAGGGACGAGGTAGCCTCGTCCGTGGAGTAAGCCCTCGCTGGCGTTGAGTCCCGCGTGGTGCTGCGTTCCGCGCATGCTAGCGCTTATCCGTGCAGCTGGGCTTGCTTTCCTCCTCCAGGATTCAGGTGAGGCGGATCCAGCCCAGAAGAGTGGGGGAGGACGGGGCCGGCGGCCCCAAGCGAGGGCCGCGTGGGGGAGGTGGCGGCCACTCGGCGGCGGCCGGCCGGGGCCGCGGGGGCCGGGGCGGGCCGGCAGGGAGGGCGCGGAGCCGCCCGCGGCGGGGAGGCCGAGCCTGAGGCGGCGGCGCCCGCGGGCCTGGTGCCCCCTCTTCTCC